AATAAAACATCCCTGATAACAACTGAGGTAAGGTGTTTTCTCACACGGGGCACTCTGTCAAGTGAGATCTCTCACTGTAAGCCAATGACTGTTGCCACGTGGAAAGACTATCAGGAGAACAAATCAGGGAGTGCCAATTCTTAACCACGGCTCTTTCCCTGTGTCATTCTTTCAACCAGTCAGACAGATGCACATTCTCATGTAAATCTTTCTATAACTGCTAAGATAGTTTACTCTCTTTTGGAAGTTGACTGCTTGCAGACTGTATGTTAGAGAGTTATCTCTGGGATGCTGGGATAGCTCCCTCAGATAGACTTAAACTCCGGTCAGAGAGTGGGGCACAGAGAAGGATGTCCGGATATACTTTAATGGAAGTTAACAGCAGCTCAACAGTACAGCAGTAGGCATACTTAACGAATGTGGGAGGGGTGGACAGACGTGTGGTTCTGAATAACAAGAAACAAAGAGAAACAATTTTCACATATAAATATAACAATCGTCACTTCCCAACATCATGCCAATATAATGAACTGTAACACAAATAATCAGCTGAATGCTCTGACATAAGAAAGTCCCACAATCCCATTTGAACAGGCAGGAAACAAGAATATCTGCATATCTCAGGCAACAGAAAAGACCTAATGCCCCCAAATTAGGAAAGGTCAGCAGTTACATGGTCTTCAGTGCCCTCTAGTGGCTAAATAACCGACCTGCGGTGCACAGATCCAACCCGCAACAAATGCTACGGTGGTAAGTCACATGCCTCTATCAATCTCGATAAATCTCCTAGCATAAACCCCCTGTAATTAACGTCAAAGTACAACCCGTGCTATAAGTGGGAATGGACTCGTAGAACTGGAGGGATTTTGACTCACATTTGCACAGGAACGCACACGTCTGGAGATCGCTATTCCCCCGCACTCATGGAGAAAAACATGGCTAGTGCTCCTCGGACTCGTGATACGGCAGGACCGTAGCAAACAGTAAGAACAAAGTGGAACTTATCGGCAGAAATTAACACTGCACTTATAGCGATGCGATTGAAATATAAGGAGACTTTCGGACACACTGTAGTTTTCTGAACAGAAGAGATCCATGTATGTGCTGATTTTTGATCATCCAGTGCTTTAATAAATACACCAAAAGATGAAGCGTTTTGACTGCAGGTTCCTAAAAGTGGATAAATGATCATGATAACAATGGTGATAGCAAGACAATATAAAAGACCCGCCTTTAAAATATAAGAACAAAAAACATAAATGCATAATTTTGCCAGTAAATTTTTATTTAACCTTTAGCAAACAGCCAAAAAAAGTGTCTAGATGAAGAATTCTCCACCATTTATGACTTGATTAGCTTATTATTACAGAATGTACTCAAATTAACTTGTTGTCTCTGAAGTCTGCAGCCTCTCCTGTGAGACTGAGAAAGAAAGCAGCTTTACTTCTTGCTTTCTTTGACCAGTTGTTCCACTTCCTTCATGAAGCGCAGGCAGAGCTCATCCTGCCACGGCAGAGCAACACACTGAACCGCCACAGGTAGACCCTCACCACCAGTCACTGCCTGAACACAAAAACACACTCCTGTCACTCAATGCTCAGCAGCTGAACGCACCACAGTCTCCTTCATCCACCTACTGTAATAAAAAGAAACTCTAGAAATATTGGAGCCACAATAGACTGATCTGGTTCAGTTCTTGGTTCTGTGTAAAGTCATGTTAAGTACATAGAATTGAAGTGAATGTCCAGAGTAATACATCACATTTTTAAATAACATTCCACAGAAAAAAATTGCATTTCTTAATTTAGCTATTACAGGATAAAACTGATACTAAGGGAAAAATTAGATTCAAGCAAGTAATGTTTATTATTACTTCAACATGCACAGATGAGTAATCGGGAACGTCAAACGATGAGCTCTACATAGCCCGAGACAGATGTGCTACAGCAGCTGATTGAAACCACATTAAAGTACACTGACGCACATTCACAAGTATTCAAAAAAAAAAAAATCTGTATTTTAGACTTTACATCAGGGGCTCCTGACTTGTTGTTGCTGCATGAAAAGCTAGCCTGACACCGAGTCTGAGACACCAGATTTATGTGTACGCGTGTACATCTGTGATCTCACGTATTGTCAAAGTGCATGCAGCTGAATTTGTGTAGACCCACCAGTAATAAGTAATGGTGTTGGAGCACAGCTGATGTGCTGAAAACCGTGTGCTGTTTACAATTCTGGAATTATAACTGTTTAAAAATGTATTTGTTAAATTTTATCAACATAAATACATTGTTTAGTATGATGTCCATCAAAGGTCTGATTCTTCTGAGGATCAGTGCCGTCCTCCTCCCTGTTTCTCCATTTTTTTTGGCCGTTTCTCTTTGAACACTATTGCACAGGCTGTGAAACTGAAGAGCTGAAAGCAGTTTTGTTGCCGCTGGCATTGTGTGACTCATTTAGCTTGAAGGTTACGAGTCACCTCTGACTTCATTGAATAAATTTAGCATTAAGTGGTTTGGTAGTCAGTTCCTTGGAATGGTTAGTCTGCTTGCCTATCGATCTTGCTTATCGGTTGCACTTGCACATGAGATACAATCAGCTGATTTCAATTCATATGCCGCAGGGCGAAAATAGTGACACAGTCTACAACGTGGATATAAACATTACTTTTATTTTAAATTGCAGAATAGAACGAGCGTTAAGTTACAGTGAAAACGTCCAGAACAGAAACAACTGCAACAGTTTTTAATCTACTGCACAATATTTTTAAGGCATTTATCTGCTAAAAAGACAGGCCAGGAAAATCTGATTCACATTCTCTGTATTTTATCCTCAGTTACTTTGACACAAAGGCATCTGCTGTGATGCTTACACCTCTAATAAAGTCTCACATGTGTCAGCTTTGTTTTTATACATAGATATAACAATAGGGATATGTACTGATAAATGATCAGAATTATAATATTTCTGGATGTCTGCGATAAAACTGAATCAACATCGATACGCAGCACTAATTTTACTCTTACTGCACTTTCTTTACAAAAATCTACTTTATGCCTTTTTAATGCTAAAACCCAGTTTTGTCCTGACACAACGTGTTAGTAAACCTGGCTCTATGTTCTCACTCAGTCTTATCTCACTGGTACATGTTGCCTACCTCTTTGAAGAGTTTGTCCCACATGTCCTGATAACAGCCCTTATAGTGCTTGAGTTCCTCCTCATCCTTTGTGGTCACTGTGGAAACAGTGACTACACCCGCAGGAAAGGTAAGGAGATTGTAGAGCATCGTGTAGCTGGCAGCAGCTGAAAGTGTAGAAAACAAAAATAAAGACACATAAACACCATTCTTAACCTTTACAAATGCAATTATTGTTTAATTTAAATATAATTTAGTTACTGCAGTAATGCCTTTGCTTTGCTCTTTATCCAGATGTTGTAATCCAGGTTACCTTTTAATCAAGTAATGTCTGGAGACAGTTTCATGACTCTTACTGTGCTGCACTCTGTCC